AAAGGTTGGCCTGGCAGTATGGCCCTGTGGTCACCGTGACTTGGAGAACTAAGGCGGGAGGCATGCTACAATCAACAAGAAATTAGCCTGGCCAATGAGAAGGAAGTTCTTTAGAATTCTTTTAAGTAAAGGGCTTGCTCCTGACCTCTGTTCTGTGTGCCTTGGCCTGTCCACAGCAAAGTGTATGGCTTGTGTGAACACGGGACAAGCTCTGGCCTCTGTTATCATCATTGTCTTCGGGGTGGGGGAGCAGGGAGTAATACAGGGTCTCTACATAGCTCTGACTATCCTGGAACTCACTATGTAGGTCAAACTGGCCTTGAATTCAGAGAGATCCACCTGCTTCTGCCCCATAAAGCATGTGCCACCATGCCCAGCCAGCTTGTCTCCCCCCCCCCTTTTTTCTTTTTCTTTTTTTTTTTTTTTGATTTTCGAGACAGGGTTTCTCTGTGGTTTTGGAGCCTGTCCTGGAACTAGCTCTTGTAGACCAGGCTGGCCTCGAACCCACAGAGATCCGCCTGCCTCTGCCTCCCAAGTGCTGGGATTAAAGGTGTGCGCCGCCACCACCACCCGGCACTTTTTTCTTTTGACATAGAGTCTTAACTATATAGTGCTGGCCGTCCTAGAACTCATGGAGATCTATCTGAGGCCTCTCCAGGACTCGGATTAAAGGCATGTGCTACTACACCCGGCCCCTGGCCTCTGCCTTTACCCACTTGGAATAATCTGTGGAGAGTTAGATCCCCAGTCTACAGTGACTATTATTTTAGACTCTCATATTACTCCCTATGAATAGTGTCCACATGTTAAATTGCCTTTCAGAAGTACACAGTCCATCTGCACATAGTGGTACATGTTGGGAAGATCAGGAGCTTGGAGTTAGCCTTGACTACACGATAAACTGGAAGCCAGCCTGGATTACGTGAAGCCCTGTCTCAAAAAAAAAAAAAAAAAGTACAGTACCAAATGTGAGCCTTTTTGTTTCTAAGTAGAAAGTATTATTAGACCGTGGTCTGTGTTTGCAGAGAGCAGAGCTACTGCCAGTGTGGATGCAGAGACTGGCAAACAGGGATTGTCTTGGGTGCTGCACTTTTCTACAGATCTTATTGTGCCTGTGTGTGCATGATGTAAGGCACACCTGCCACAGCACACATGAAGGAGTAGGTTCTTTCCAGGGGTAAACTCGGGCTTGTGCAGCCTGTGCCTTTCCTGACCAAGCCATCTCTCCAGTGCTCTTCCCGTCAGATCACCTTGTACATCTTAGAGAACTGGGTGCCCAAGTACAGTGGCTAATCTGCTTGTTCCACATCCTGGACACAAGGTGAAACCTCTTTTGTTTGGGGATAGGTGTTTTTCCTAGAAAATGATGACCAGCATAACTGCCTGAGCGACCCTGCGGATCACAGCAGACTGACCGAGCATGTTGCCAAGGCATTCTGCCTCGCTCTCTGCCCCCACCTGAAGCTTCTGAAGGAGGATGGAATGACAAAACTGGGACTTCGCGTGACCCTTGATTCAGATCAGGTAAGAAACATCTTGGGCAGCTTTTGGAGCTGGCCTTGAGTTGTTTTGTTCTTGTTTCTTTTTCTCTGAGAGTTTTCCTGAGTTACCCGAGAGGATAAATGACCTCACATCCCACCAGGCACAGATAAGCTTTCTGGTCAGAACCATTTGCACTGTGGATCCTAAGGACTGTAGGGTATGGAAGGAAGGGCCAGGGTCTGCCACCTCTGATAAGCTTGTGTCACCCTGTGAAACCCCCATGCCCACCCATGAATACTGCTCTGCAGCCCCTTAGGGGCAGGTTCTAGGTGTCCCTCATCGTTGTCTTCTTAGTCAGCGGGACCGAGTTCCTGTTCCTTGGCATCTGCAGTTGCCACTGCTTAGTAAAATTTGTCTTGCTACCAGTATTTTCATTTAGTTGGTTAGGTTTGCACTGTTTCCTCAACAATTTTCTTGTCATTGGGACTTTGTTTTTGATTTTTGTTTACCTTTTTTTTTTTTTTTTTAATTTTTTGAGACAGGATCTCACTAGTTGCCCTGGTTGGCCTTGAACTCAGAGATCCAGATCCATCTGCCTATCTGCCTCCTGAGTGTTGAGACTAAATGTGTGTGCTCCCATGCCTGGCTTGATGTTTGTATGTGCTCTCTGTATTAACAATCCAGTCTTCACCTCCCAAACCCGTTCCTTGTCCTAGTATCTCTATTGTGGCCGAGTTCTTCACAGCAGGTTCCATTGGGCCTGCATTGGGTGCCTAAAATTTGCCAGCTACCATTTCTACCCTCAGTCCTTAGTGTTACTAGAAATGAGTGGAGTGGGGGCTGGAGAAATGTGGTTCAGTTCCCAGCACCCACATCGTGGTTTATAACCATCCTAACTCCAGTTCTAGGGGGTCTGACTTGACTCCTTCTGACCTCCTTGGGCACCAGGCACACACGTTGCACATCCATACACACAGACAAAACCATTACGCACATTTAAAAATAGACGAAGTTTATTTTTAAAGAAGAAAGGAGTGTGGGCTCAGATTGATAGTCCCTCTGAGTCAGTAATTATTCTGCCCCAAAGCAGTTTCTATCCTGGGTGCTTACATGGGGAAAACCTGGCTTTTTCGTGCAGAATGTAATCAAATAGATTATCAGGGCAGGGTGAAAAGTTGTGTCTGGCTTTATTTCCCAACTAGGCATCGTCAGCCAGTGTTTATTTTCACTTAAGGTCTTGTCCTGTGCTGAAAAAAGGCCTATCTGGGGCTGGGGATGTAGCTCAGAGTGCCTGCCGAGCATGCACAGAACCCTGGGATTGATCTTCAGCACCATGCAAGCCGAGCATAGTGACGTACACTTGTATCTTAGCCTCTCAGAGGTGGAGACTGGAGGATCAAAACCTTAAGATCATCCTTGAGACCAGTCTGATCATATAAGACCCTTATATGACAACAACAACAAAAACCAAACAAGCCAACCATAACAAAAATCAGGCTCAGTGGGTGAAGGCACCCGACATCCAGGCTTGACAGCCTGAGTTCTATTCCCGTAACTCACGTACTCAGAGGAAGGAGAGGCTGTCCTTTGATTTCCTCATGCATGTCATGGCACATGCGCCGTGGTGCATGCACACACCCATACACATAAAATTAAATGCAATTTAGAAAAACGTTATCCGTGTAATACTAGTGAAGTGTCTGTCATGTTCCCATCTCACATGTACTGATAACCTATCAGTTATCAGATACTGATGGACAGAGAGGCTCCCTCATGTGGAACAATCGGATAGCAAATCTTTTTCTGCTAAGTTTGACTCTCTTGAGGGAAAGGGCCCTTTATCTTTGAATTTCTGTTTTCAGTTACTCAAAAAATGGTGTGTTGGTGACTGCATGGACTGAAGAATGTGATGTTGTATTCCTCACTTTAGTTTTTTTTGTTTGTTTTTTTGAGACAGGGTTTCTCTGTGGCTTTGGAGCCTGTCCTGGAACTAGCTCTTGTAGACCAGGCTGGTCTCGAACTCACAGAGATCCTCCCTCACTTTAGTTTTTACAACCAGAGGCTAAACTGATTCATCCTTTCTATTCCTGGAAGCGGACATTAGCGGATTCAGGAATAAGGTCAAGGTCTCACGAGAGTAGGTGCCAGAGTGGTAACCCACAGTTAACAGAGGAAGAATGTATATGCACTGTCATGTGTCTAGCTCATGGGAAAGGACTTGGCTCAGCCCTCTGGAGAGAGCTTCCCTCTCTCCCATAACCTGTCGTCCCTTCTCTCCTGGTAGGTTGGCTATCAAGCAGGGAGCAATGGCCAGCCCCTTCCCTCGCAGTACATGAACGACCTGGACAGCGCCTTGGTGCCTGTCATCCATGGAGGAGCCTGCCAGCTCAGCGAGGGCCCTGTCGTCATGGAGCTCATCTTTTACATTCTGGAAAACATCGCATAGAGGACGACTCCGTTTTCTCTGCTCAGACCTGTTGCAGCAGCAGTCATATCCAAATCATTTGCACTTTAAAACTGGAAGATTAAGCTTTTGTTAGCACTATTGGTGGGGAGGGTACGGGGTGGGAGTAGGGTTTAGGGGGAAGGGTGGGGCGGGTGGTTGGGGGACAGATGTTCCATGATTTTAAGTCTTCTATGCATTCTCCAAGAAGACCTGGGCAGCTTCTTACTGCACAACAGTTACGCTATCTTTGCAGCTAACCCCCTCTGTTCCTGTCTAGACAAGAAGTCTGCTCCTCTCTTTGGTCATGTGCTCAGAAATGCTCATATGGGTACAGCCATCTCCAAGATCAGGGTGGGGGGCAGAAAGGAAATAAACAATGAAGCGTCAAGTTTGCACTTTCTGTATAGAATTGGCATAAAAGAATGTTACACTGCTACACTTACCGTCCTGGCTACACCCCAGCTGCTTACAAGAATGTTTAGATTTTTTGTTCAGGCTACTGACTGAATCAAACCAAAGGGGTTTCTTGTCTGCTGGCCATGGAATGGTAACTCAGTATAAGCCAGGCAGTTTGGATAGCAGAGTCGAGTGCGGAGTCACTCACGGTCTGCCTAAGTGAATGGCAGGTAGTAAAACGAGCCTTTTGTGAGAGCCGGCAAGGGACACCCAAGGCATTTTCGTTTACTGTACACTAGAGATATTTTTAAAGAGCATTTTACTAAGAAACTGCTTAAACTTCCAGGAAAGTTGTAAATATAAAAAGAGAAAACCTGTGTCCTCTCTTAAACAGCCTTATGTACTCATGCCCACACTGACGCTTGCCCTGCTCGACTTGTTGGGGTCTTGTCTTTCTCCCTCCTCTGTAATATTGAAGTGCGTACGACAGAGTCCCTTCCCCTCTACGGTAAATGTTATTCCTTGCCCAGATAGGATGTTAGTCGAGGTCACTGTTTAGTCGAGGTCACTATGACTGGCTTTAACTTCACTCCTGCCCAGCACTGTCCTGGGAACCTTTCCTCAATGGTGTGCTTTCCAGCCGGGGTCAGACACTGCACATAGCTCTTAGACTGGATTTGGTTTTTTGTGGCATGCATATTTTTTGAGTATAGGCCCTCACATCCTGAATTTTTGTTTTGTTTTAGAAAACATGTCATTTGAGTTTGTTGCCTTGACAATGAATGGTACTCATTGCATTCTCAGCCTGATTCCTTGATGTCCCTCTGCCTCTCAGAGATGGTGGCAGATTTCATCATCACTGTGCGCTATGTCTGTTTCCCTCTTAATGACAGATTTATGTAGAGGCGCTTTTCACACTGTGCAAATGTCTGCTCCTCAGATTGTCCCTTAACTTGCACCACGGATGCTTCTTGCCTACACTGATCTTTTACTCTGACAGCTGCAAGATGGTTTTCTAATTCCAGCATGCCCTTTCTTTGCCAGCTGGACTTAAAAACTATAAACAAACCAGCCCTCCCTCCCTCCCTGTTATTCTTTTAGTTTTCATGTTGGTCTTGTGGAGTTCTACTTTCTTAGTTTGGTACTCAGGTGAGCTCATCTTTGGCTAAGTTGAGCACCTTCAAGCTGGCTCCTGCATCCTTTCATGACACATTTATTTTTACTCCTTCCTGTGTAGCCTAACAAGATGCTCCAGACTAATCTTGCACTTACCTGCCAGGTTTGGAATCGCTTCATCTCTGAGTAGCCCTTTTAATTGGAATAGTACAGGAAACCAAGGTCTGGTTCTGATTTTATCTTTGTTATATTTATTTTGGTCACAGGCCAAATGCATCTCTCCATTTGAAATACACTGCTCTAGGGCAACTAACACTTGTGTCCATGGCATCTTCCCAAGCCCAGGCCACCCCGGATCTCCTTCCTCTACAGCCCTAGGTTCAAATGCAGGCCTCTGCGACAGTGGAAGGCTGCTCCATTCCTCTCCTGAGCTGGTAGACCTGCTTGGGGAAGTAGCTGTTTTCTAAAGGCTCTAAGGTCTGGCCTGGCCTATGTGTCTGACTGTGACTGTCTCTCTCTCTGCTGGGTGAAGATTGCACTCCACACCCATTTCTCCCAAGGTTTTGCTGATGGAAGCTACAGAACTGGGAACATGACCTTTCTTTTAGATGTAGGTACAAAGCCTTAGAAGTGACCTTTGGCCCTGACCAGCACTGATTTCATGTAAGAAAAGAGCCCTTGAACCGGCCCTGAACCTGTAACAGGAAGTACCTTAACAGGTGTATTTTGGTGTTAATATACCTCAAAAGATGGGCGCTTCTACAGTACTGCCCCATCCTCCTGCTCAGCTAACTGCACCCTGCTGTTGGACATGGATCTCCTAGAACATGCGAGGATTTTTTGTTTGGTTTTTCAAGACAGGGTTTCTCTGTGTAACTGCCCTGGCAATTCTGGAACTCACTCTGTAGACCAGACTGGCCTCAAAATCAGAGATCCTCCTGCCTCTGCCTCCCAAGTGCTGGGATTAAAGGCCTGTGCCACCATGCCTAGCTCATAAACAAGGTTTTTAACCCCTCCCCCACAAAGGACAGATTCTGGAGCCATAAAAACAGGTCCATTCTTAACTCATAAAATATCCTTTGTGTGTAGGAAAATCATCTTAGAAAATCGGGCTTACGCCATCAAGGATGCTCAGTCTTTTCTCCTTTTTAACTTTGGTTTTATATGATGTGTACTGTAATTTATATTATAAAGTGCTGAAGCAGCACATTCCTAGTCAGGCAGGGTTTTCTAGATTTAACCTGAAAGATAAATGCAGAGTTTTTACACAAAGAGCAGAATTGCATCCTGGTAATTTATTGTTTTTAAAAATTGTATGCTTACCGAGTGTGTTTGTAAGCGTGTATTGCATTATGTATTTCCTGGATTTTAGAGATGGCCCTCTTGTAGCCCAGGCTGGCCTCAAACACTCAGTCTAGTCAAAGATGACATTCAATTCCTGATGCTCCTGCCTCCTCCTCCCAAGTACTGAGATTATAGGAATATGCCACTATACCTGGTACTCTCTATTTCCCAAGCCCCCCCTGCTCTCAAGGCGGCAGAATGATGGGATTGTCTACAGTCCCATCTCCTGTCTTCTCCATCTACACTGGGTCCTGCTGGTGGCCCAAATTCCAGTTAAACTTGTCCTTGGTCATCTCAAAGACAGTTATGCACTTAATGTATTTCTAACAGTAGCTTCTATTTTACTGATACTAAAATTAAATAATGGTAATGGGATTTTTAAGAATCGTATACATAGGACTGCATGAATAGAGCCGGACGCTGAGCCCATCTTGGAGGCCAGTCATCTAAGGCCCATTTGATCCTCAACACATTAGGAACAAGAGCAGGTACATGCTTCCTGGGATTACCAGCCCCGGCCCTGTGGTTTGATTCAAACTCAAAACAGCTGACCTCACTTAGTGCCAAGGTCTTTTAAGGAAAGCCACACATATTTGGAGGGGGGTGACCCATAAGTATGAGGATGGCAACCATATACGTTTTAGACTGGTGCTACATAAAGGGAAAAAAAAAATCGTACAATCCTTGCCTTTCATGAGCAAAACTTCCTGACTCTAAAATTCTGTATTTTATTCAGTTCAGGAATTTAAAAGACATTCAGTGTAATATTTAGAAATGATTTTGGTGTGGCTGGTTCTCAGTTATATCCATGAATAATGTTTGGTTACTGTGGCTGACTAAATCTTACATAAATGAAGCTTTATGCAGGCCCCTCCCCCTACCCAAGCATTCCTTGGCTACAACAAAGACCTTTTAAATCTCCAAGTCCAGTGGGTGGCTTTGTCAGGCCTCCCTCAGCCTTGAGGTGGTTTTTCAATGAGCAGAGCGATATAGTGGACTGAAAGTGAACAAGCTGTAAGGGCAATCCCTTAAGTCTCAGAACACAACACTCCCAGTAGAGGGAAGAAATGTGAAATGCCTAGGGCAGATAGGGATCATGGAGAATAACCCCAGGGGCTCTTCATTTTAGCAAGCCTTGAGCTGAGTCAGATGCAGGCTGAAAGGAAAGTGCGGTGGGACCAATAACTTCAGACCACACCCCTCTGCTCTGGGTTCCTTCATGAAGGCAGAGACCCTTTCATTCCAATTCGCCGCTGGACACATGATGTGACTATAATTGTTAAATCTCTTACGTATGCAAGATGGGGAGCTCACATCTGCTAGGTAGGATTGGCCAGAGAGCTCTGGGAGAAGTCACTTGTCAGCAGTTTCTGCCCTCTTATCCACTAACAATTTTGATATGCTCTTCAAGGGCTGGGAAGCATGGTCCAGCCCTGTTATCTCCAACAGACACACAAAAGCTCACCCCTGGGCTGTGCTTATGCAATACTGTAGTGACCAGCAGCTGAATGTACTTCCTACTTCCTTCTCGTAGAGCCTTCACAAATTATCCTGAGGAAGCTGGGCATGGTAGCACATGCCTGTAATCCCAGCACTAGGGAAGCTGAGGCAGGAGTTCAAGACCAGCCTGGACTATTAGCGTGAAACCCTGCCTCATTCAACCAAAATGATAAAATATGGAGGAACACTTTGTTGAGGTTAATGCTTTAAACCAGGGGAAAGAGTTGGGGTGATGACTTCTGAGAAATCTAGAATAATGTATTTAAATATTAACTCCATTGCAACTACCTGACCCTTCATTTCATCTGTTCACCATGAAAGCTATAGAACCTGGACAAACAGGGATTAGCCAAGAGATCAGCTCAAGGACAGGCCTTCTCAAAAGAGGAATACACAGGTACAGCAGAACTGCTTTGGCTTTTAAAGTGACAGGGAACAGGGCATTTGAAGACTTTGATAGTAAATTAATACTGTTTAGAATATAAAGTTCTTACAGTGAATTAGACCTAGTTTTAAAATAAAAACGGCCACATAAAACTGCTATTTTTTTTTCTTTTCTTCCCAGTTAACATCTTAGGTACATGGACCAAAGCGAAGAAAGCCTTCCCCTTCCCACCAATAGTACCAAAGTAACTTTCCTGTTCCCCAGTCCCCTGGGAAGCAGAAAGGCTAGTGCAGCAGGTGTTAGGGTCAAAGGCACAGGCTGAGGGGAAAATAGCTGCAGTCCCGGAATCCTGCCCCTCCCCTAAGCAGGGAAGGTTCCAATCACCCTCACGTTCTCCATCCCTTACAGTCACATCTTTGAAAGGCACATCCAGAAATGGTGCAACTGGGGCTGGGTTAAATGTACGTCATCGCTATGCAGAGGTTAAGGGGCAGTAGGACTCTGGCACAGAGCAATGGGGGTATCCTTGTCTTCACCCACATTCTGGTGGCGGGAGGCTGTACAGATGCTCCACGGAGGCCCAGGAGAGGTGGTGCAAGGACAGCCCAGGCCACGGTTAGTTTGGCGGTCTTTGGTGCTTGTGTAGCAGCAGCTCTCACTACAGAGGCTCTTGCAGCCGGCAGAGCTGGGTCGGTGAGCTGGTACCAGTGCCGACTACCTCACAAGGCAAAAGCACAAAGAAAACCATCCGAGCTTTAAAAGGTTTCTGAAGAACATTAACATGAGATCTCTTTCTGCCCTGAGTCTTAAGAAATAACCCACAAGCACTTCCCAACAGTTTTAGTCACCTTGAGAGACTAAATGCTTCCTTCCCAGAAATGACTGAAAAAGTTTTAGTAGAGAGAAAACTCTGGTGGATCGGAGAGCTACTCACCTCACAGGCCCCTAGGCTCCAGGACCAACCAGTTCTCAGTGACCACCTGCACATCCTGGCCACTCAAAGGCTCCCGCAGCCTCACCTTAACCTCCAGCTTCCCCCCAGTGGGCTTTCTTCCGTCCAGAACCTGTGACAGGCACAGAAATAGACTGATTGAGGGGACAGCCTGAGGCAGGTAGCAGTTGCATCAGGACAACCCTGCCTTCCTTCCACCTACAATATGGGAAGTGGTGGACTGCTAACTCTCAGGATATCTTAGAAATCAGTAACCTAGAAATCTAGATACGTATCAGTGCTCTGACTGGAGAAACCTGTAGCTCTATTCTGTTTTTCCTCTTGATCTTCATAACTCCTAGAATTAGCACTGGCTTCCACACCCTTGTGCATGGCCCACAGGTACAACTCAGGCTTGCGCCCTCCTCTAAGGCACATAAATAGTTGAATACAAAGTACAGCAACAAGCTTGAGAAATTCGACCACCCTTAAAGCAATTCAGACTAGGCCCCACTTTAAGAGAACTCCAGGTGGGGAGAGGCAAGCTCTAGCCTCTAAAAGCCTCTGTAAGGGTCTGTCTGGACCTGGATCTACAAGGACGTAGAAATCTCTTCTCCGCTGGCTTATTCCCCATTTGTCAAAGGCAGGTTCCAGCTCCTCAGCTGTACAACCCTGTAAGGTCATGAAAGCTCCCGAGCTACCTGCACAGTTTTCAATCACCATTTGCATATTATCTAGAAATACTCTACCCACTTCCTGTTTGGAGTTTGTTCTCGGCCTCCTGCTACTTGCCCACTGCCCCAAGCACAACACAGCCCTGTACCATGCTGAGCAATGGTCAGAATACTCAAGGGTCTTCTCTCAACTGTCACTCCTAAGAGCTTAAGTAGTCCTGGACTATGGAAAGAATATGGCTCCATCTGGCTGCCTTTGAAAGTTACTCAGACTTTCTTTACATCTTCCATGACAAGGGGATACAACCCATTCCGAAGCACACTAGATACAATTTTAAAATGTACATAGAACCCTCAATAGAGTTCCAAGAATATCAGCTCCTTCTGGGCCCTACCTCCATGATCTCTCTGATCTCACACTCATTCTCCAGCCTTTCCAATTTCAGGTGTGCTGTGCCAACCAGCTTGTCACTTCTAAAAAAGGATCTGGGAAGGCAGAAGCAGCAGAGGATTAGCCTGGGCAGAGCGGGCAGGAATGGGAGCTGGCTGCATTCAATGCAAGCAAGCAGTGGTGTGGGGAGCAGCAGGAACAGGCCTGCCATTCCTCCCCTCCTATCTTCCTTGTGGGACTGACAGCTCTTACTTACCCTTTGTGGAAGATCTCAAATTTGATTCCTTTGCTCTGGATCACTCTCTTAAAGCCCCGGTGATTTCGATTGATGTTTAGTTTAAAAACTTGTTCAAATTCTAAAAGGAGAGGGTTGGAATTCTTGGGGAAGTGGAAAAAGAAGCCCAGGGCAGGTATATTCTCTGGAGTTCACTGCCTGCAATTCAGGATGAACTGAGAGAGCCACCAGAGAGAGGCAGAACATGTAAGGTTTTGGCCTTGTAAACACTTTTGGTACCCAGAGACACAAATTATATATTGGAAAGCACTTGGAATCTGGAGTGAGAATTCCTAGATTCAAGTACCATCACCCCCACCCTGCTCACTGTGTAGCCCTGGCTGGCCTAGAACTCATTCTATTGACCACACTGGCATTAACCTTGCTGCAATTCTGCCTCTGCTTCCCAAGTACTGGGATTACAGATGTGATCCACACACCCAGTCTTCAAGTCCATTTTTAACACTTCCTTGCTGTGAGTCCCCAGACAAATCCCTTTACTCAACTAGCCACAAGCCCCAGTTTTTGTATTGCTTTTTCTTATATTTTCATTAATTTTTTTTTCAGGTGTGGTGATACACACCTTTAATCCCAGCACTCAGGAAGCAGATGTAGGTGGATCTTTCTGAGTTCCAGGTCAGGCAGAGCTATAAGCTATACACTGAGATACTGTCTCAAAAAAATTTAAAAAGACCTTTATTAGTTTTCATAGTGTGTGTGTGCTGGAGACCAAGACTGCCAGAGGCATCATATCCCTCTGGAGCTAGGTATAGGCGTTTGTGCAACCCCTGATCTAGGTGCCGGGAACCAGAAGCAGAGCCTCCACTATATATACATGTATATATATATTAGTTTTATGTGCATTGGTGATTTGACTACATATACATCTGTGTGACAGTGTGACGGTGCTGGATTCCCTGCGATTGGAGTTACAGACAGTTTTGAGCTGCCCTGTAGGTGCTGGGAATTGAACCCTAGTTCTCAACCAGTGCTCTTAACTGCTGAGTCATCTTTCCAGCTCTAGGCTTCAGTTTTCACAACTATATAAAGGAACTATTAATAATAGCTGCCTTTATTTTTGAGTTGGGTGGGCCAAGTAAGACAGTAGCTATTACAACACTGGAAACTGCTATCCAATATGGGTCTTATATGTCACTCACCTGGAGAGTTTGTATTCTTGACCACGGCTGTTTTGCTTTTTTGAGCCTGGTCCTACATCAGCGAGATGAGAGAAGTTAAGATAGCTCAAAAAAGCAGGTGTGCAGCTACAGTACTTTGGCTGTGTCAGTGGTAAGGAAAGCAACTCCTGCAGATGGACCAGAAAGTCTTCAACCCATCCCCATGGCCATGCCTCTTAAAGATGGAGAGGAACTAAATAGTACTGGGGTTCAGAGGGTCCCTAACCCTATCAGAACCTCACCGAGTTAGGGTAATGAAACTCAAAGCGTACAAACGCATCCAAGTCATCGGGAGTCACTCCTATAAAGAAAAATGGAGTCAGGTTGGAAAGCACGGTCATAGCCTGGTGCCCAGGCAGCAGGTAGGATATGTGAACAACATCCTTCAGTAAGATGACCCTTGGTTACCTGGTGGGGCCGGGAGGTTCATTCCCCGGACGATGATCAGATGCATTTCTGTGCTGTTAAGTTCTGAGAAGATCCTACAGACCAGAATGAAGAAAGTGCAGAGTGAAAGACAGTAGCAGGACAAGGGCCGCAGTGGTGGAGCTCCCTCTGAGGGCAGCACGTCCACCTCCCCCGCTCTAGCATCCATGGTACTGGGAAGTCTCACTACGGCTCTGCTCCAAACCTTTCGCCCTATCCCTGCACAGAGCCACAGTTTTCCTTAGGCTTTGGCACCTCACAGTCTGGAATGTCTTCAACTCAAAGTGATGGCTGGGAGGGTCAAGGCCCTGGGCCTGGGCTAGCTGCAGGATCTCAAGCTGTTTCTTTCGGTCCTGAGCAAGCTTCTCAAACCTGCCAGGGACAGGTAACCAAGTCAGCAAGGTAGGATTTGTTATCTGGTCCCTAACCCAACAAGCCCAGAACAGCCCTGGCACTTACCGGGTAGTCTCAGCCACATTGCCCTGGTGCATGAACTGCTTGGAGAACAGCAGGCACTTCTAGAAACAGGAGCCCAGAGTGACTCCATAGCCAGAGCAGGGCTTGCCAAGGCTAGCATTCAAGGCCTAACCTCTCAAAGCTCCTAACAATCGTCTTTAGCGTGACCCCTCCTGTAAAACATATTCCTGGGGCACTCTTCCTAAGGCTTAACACCCTTTCCTGCTCACATGTTTGTCAGTGTGAGACAGGGTCTCGGATACACAGCCCTGCTAGAACTCATAGAGTTCTCCTGCCTCACCCTCCCAAGTGCTGGTCCTGCGGGTATGTGTCACCTCCATGCTGGTCTCCTCTCAGAAGACCATATCCCAAAAATTCATTTGGCAAACTCCTTCCTTCAAAAGTTAATCCATGTGGGTGTGGTGACAGTGTATAGTTCCAGCATTTAGGAAGCGGAGGCAGAAGGACTTAGAGGTTGAAGTCAGCCTGGGGTCCATGAGGAGTTTCTAGGACATCATGGCATATAGCAAGATCCTGTCTCAAAGATCAACACCATCAAAAAATAAATTTAAGCATATACTTTAGAACTCTGTCTTCTCAGAAAAGGCAGCACTTCAGGTCAGCTCTCTCACAAAACCCATTCCCCTTCACTCTGTTTGAATTTCATAACTACATGAAGAGAGGGGCTGGGGAGATAGATGGCTCACTGGTTAAGAGCACTGGCTACTCTTGCAGGGGACCTGCACCAGGTTCCCAGCACCTAAACACTGGTTCACAAGCACCTGTAACTCCATTTTCAAAGAATCCAGTATCTTCTGACTTCCATGGACACAAGGTACATGTGATTATACGTACACATATGTGTAGGCAAAGCATACATGTTAAAAAAAAAAAAAACTAAAATTAAAAAGGGTAGCTTCATTTTGCAATTGTCCAGGGTCATACCTTAGGCCAGTGAGAAGAGTTAAACTGAACCCATGCTAGGACACAGACAAGCAGAGACAGGGGCTACTGACCTCATGCTGCTCCAGGAGTATTTTCTGTAGCTGGACATACACCTCCTCAGCCTTCTGGGAGAGTCGCAGATCTTCATGGTGGATGAGGATGAAGTCACCCTCTTCATCCGTCAAGGGTGAAGGCATCTGCCAGATCATAAGGCCCCCAGGCCCAAGAGTCAGATTATACCTCTCCTGCCATGTCACCTCTGACCCCAGGTAACCCATACTCCTTTTCCCTTCTATCTCAGGGATAAAAGCAAAGGCTCTTTCCCTGATGTCACCATTTTACACAAGTCCTACCTCCACCTAGAAGCCACCCCTTCACGCCCAGCAACCAGCTCCCACCTCTGCCTGAGGCAGACTCCTGGTTCAGTAGGTGGGACTCACCTTGGAGAGGTCGATGGGTTGACCTGCTCGGGCTTGGGCGATCTGGACCTCCAGATTTTTAGCTACTCGTAGATGGGATTTGGCCTGCTCTAGATCTTGTCTGCGCTTGGCCTGCAGGGCTGCTCGCTGGTATTGCAGTTTCCGAGCCTCCAGCAGTGCCAGCTGCTCCCGAGCTAAGGAAGAAGGCCACTGGTTAGGCCATGCCTCTCTCACTGGACCACCACTCCTCTTCCTGTCTGTCCCTAACTCACCAGATGGACTCAGTGATTCCTTAGAACTTGAGGCCTTGGGCTCAGTCACAGGATGAGATGAAGGGGCCAGAGGATGTGCTGGCTTCTTGGCCACTGGAGCCTGTGCTGGGGTATCACTCTGCAGGTAGCAACCAGTTAGGACGTTGTCAAATAGTTAACATTCCCCACCCTGGCCTAGACACTGGCTACCTCTGCCATGTTGCACCTCAGTTTAGAGGCTTTGCCTCCAGAGTCATAAAATTCAAAGACAGAACCTCAAAAGCTTTCTAGCCTAACTCCCCCAACAGCATAAGAGAGACTTGGGTTTAGGGTCAGAAATACCCAAGTCTGAATTCAAGTTCTGCCTAGGACAAAGCTTTTCTCTAGACTAGAGGAAAAGGTCTCTATTTTATAAGGTTAATATACTACAGCAGCATCTGGGTTTATTCCTTATCTGCTGGACCCCTGACTAAACTCTGAAGTCCTGGGCCCATAGCCAAACCTCCTCGTCTTCATCTGCCAGGACTGTATCTTGTGAGGCCAGTTTTTGGGCAGACGCCAAAGTTGCTGTCATTGAATCCTCCTCGGCACCTTTACTGGGCTCCAGGCCAGGGATGGGAGGAAATCCTGAGGAGACAGAATGGAGAGGGAGCAAGGCAGCAGCAAGCAGTAAGGAGACATGAGGCAGCTGTGGGTCTTGCCTGGCTCTGGGATGGGTAACTCACACAAGGTAAAGGCACACGAATGAGAAATCTCCTTCTCCCTCCCTTCTTGCTGAGAAATCACCTAAATGCCAAAGGCCAAACCACACTCACCTGGAGGAACAGGTAACTCAGCAAAGTCAACTTTCTGCCCTGCTTGATGAGCTCGAACAGCATCCTGATATTGCTACATGGGAAGGAAGGGAATTTCAGCAGCCTGCAGGCACCATGCCCTCATTGCAGAGGCAGAGAGATGACAGGGAAAGGCTGCAGCCCTAGAAGAAAAGAGGTCCCGAGGCAGCAAGAGCTCTATAAACAGACAAGGACTCAGAGAAGAGCAGGGCTTGTAGGGAAAGTGCACAAGGCAGGACAGAGCCAGGACAGGCCAGCAAAGGATAGGGGCTGCACAGCCACGGGCTCACCTTGGCAATGCGATCATGCATCCTGGCCTTGCGCTCATTCCCACTGGCCCGGGCCTGGATGCCTGCCTCACGGTACCTGTTCAGCCTTTGCTGTAAAGCATCCAGCACTGTTTTTGGCTCTGCAGGGGCCACTATAAATGGGGGTAAAAAGAGACTATCAGCTCATCCTGCCTCTTCCCAGGCCCCCACTCCATTGCCTCACTGTAAAGTCCTACCTGAGGCTGGGAGGTCAGAGGCCATCACTTTCTGTACTTGCTCCACTACTGGGGACAGGACTCGGGTTGCTGTAGGGGCCTCAGAAGCCTGTGGAAGGGCCTTCAGATCTGGGGACCCAGAGTAGCAGGGTAGGCAGAGTGTCCGGCCAACCCCACACCTCACAGTCCTCCCTAATCCAGCCTAGGCAGATAGCCCCATTATCTGACTGACCATCAGGTGCTGGGGGCATGCCACTCAGATCCACAGGCTGCCCTTTCTCCAGGGCCTCCAGGACAGTATCAAATCTCTGCAGAAGAGCAATTACAGACATAAGCCAGTGCACTCTCCCCCAGGTGCTGTCTGGTTCCTCTCAGCCTCTGCATCCCCATCAACGGTATGAAGGCAGGACGTCGTACCTTCCCAATCCTCATGAGCTCCCGGGCACGATCTAGATCTCCAGCCCGTTTGGCATTGAGAGCAGCTACTTTGTACTCTCTCTGTCGGGCTAACAACAGGGCCTGTGGGGCTGGGTCTGCAACAGGCAGAGGAGCAATGGCAGAGCTGTCTGGGAGGCTGGGCTCAGGTTGGTAAAGGTGCTCTACACAAAACAAAAGAACCCCAGAGAACTTGGCTAGAGGGTCAAAAGAGGAAGTTCCAGAATCAACCCCACCCCAAGTCTTGCTGGTCTAGGAATTCTTGGAGCGACAAGCAGGCAGGGGGGGTAAGCAGGCTATAGGAACCAGAACAGGATATCTTCAGATACCTGGCTCCATGGCACACGGAGCTGCCTCAGGGCTCCTGTTGGCTATTTCCTGGTGGGGTGGGAGCCTTTTACCCAAGGCTACTGGAGGTGGAATCTCATCCTCACTGATCTTCCCACCTTTCCTCACAGTGGCAAGCTGGGACTCCAAAGTCTGAGGAAAAGAATTATACTAGTAGCCCAAGTGGCTACCTGGGGCTTGCTGGAAGACAAGCCAGTGACCCAGCATGTTGACCACACCTGTGAATGGCCCTTCCTTTACTGTCACCTCACCTACAGCCTGACTCACCTTCAGGCCCCGATCACAGCGCCGGGCTTTGGCAGCTTCACCGGCCTCCTTGGCAATGGCTGCGGCCTCCCGGTAGTTATAGATCCGTTCCTCCAGCAAAGCCTGCAGCCCCCGAGGCCCTCCAGCCTGCAGATACTTCAGCTCAGGGCTGGGCCACTCCATAGCCAGCTAGGCCCTTGCCATTCTCTCCCTGTGAGGAAGCTACCCCAGAAGACGGATCTCTGGGACTCCGGGAGAAAGAGGTGCCTAAACCCCCAGAGTATGAAACAAAGTCCACAAGAGAAGCCAGACATTATATCAGGCAAACAGAGGCTCCCCCAGTCAGTAGAGGCCAAGAAATGATTTCCAGAAGTGGCTGGAACAGGAAGGCCTTTGGAGCCTGCCAGTTATGGCAGTTCCTCATGCCGGCTTTCTGTGTGAGGAGCTGGTAGAGTTACTGGGCAGCTCTGCTGTGTAAGCCATGCTACATGCATACTGTCCATGGACACACGGGCCAAGACACATGCGGGCCCTTCTGTAAAACCTACCTGAGGCACAGCAGGTAAAGCCTGTTGGAAGGCTGTCTGCACTGTAGGTTGCTCAGTGTTGTCCTGTGCCCTGTCCTCAGACAAGTCTGGACTTGTTGCCTCACTGCCATCTAGCAGCCCAGTTTCTTCATCCACACTCAGGACTTCCTGCAGCTCTGTCTGGGGAAACACAGTCCAAGAACTTGGGTGTCTCATGGCCACACTCATGTCTGGAAGAAAGTTAAAGGACCTGCTTCCCCAGCAGTATCTGTCAGTGAAATCCTGAGCTCAGTCCTCTTTACCAACAGCTCTCTAATCAAGGAAGACTGTGATAAAAACAGAGAATTCCAAACTGCAGCACTCAGACCAGAAGTCAAAGGAGACAAATCTTTTACTGTATAGCCACGAGGCCAGGCCTGGGAAGGGAAGGGCGCTCACTCAGTCTAACAAAGAGGAACAAACCCCAGCCCCTCAATAGCTCTCTCCTCTACCACACCAGAGCTTGATCCTTGGATACCAGCCTGGCAAACACACCAGCAGGTCTGCATCCTCCTCCAGCCCTTCCTCTTCCTCTCCCTCCTCCTCCTCCACATCTCGCATACAGTCTGCTGCCAACTTCTCAATGTGGGCCATGGGTAGGGGGGCTGAGGAAAGAGAGTGACTCAGGTAAGGTGCTGGACATCGACGGAGGATCTTTAGTTCACTGGACTGGTAGCCACCCCAGACAGAAATCCCCCATCCCTTCTACAGTGAAGTCCCACTCAGAAAGGGACTCTTCTTTCATGACTCTTGCTCTGCCTTCCTGGGATCCCAACAAGTAACACGCTGCTTCTTTCCCTGCATTTCTGCTTGCAGGTAAATGTACCTGTTATACACTGCCCCACCATGTCTTTCACATTTGTAAATGGTTTTAAATCCACTCAAGCTACTTACTACTTATAGTTCTGTAAGATGGGTAACATTATCCTCATTTTCTTGTTCCTTCCCTTTTGTTTGTTTTTTGAGATAGGGTTTCTCTGTGTAGCCTGTCCTGGAACTCTGTAGACCAGCCTGGCCTCAAACTCACAGATTCCCCTGCCTCTGCCTCCCAAGTGCTAGGATTAAAGGAGTGTGTCACCACCACCTGGCCAACATTATCCTCACTTTCTATACTGAATAAATTAAGATGCACCAACATACATTTCCTCAAATTCACAATCTTAGTAAGTGGCAATATTCAAACCCAGGCTTGTCTTAAAAAAGCAGGGTTAGGATACTGAGCCCTTCCCAGTCATGCCCTGACTTTAGCTCAAAGGCATACAGGCTGCCTCCTAGGGTTCCCGCTAAAAGGAATATTCAGAACCCTTATTCTGATATCTAAAGGAGATTTCACTTACTCACTGACATCATTTCTGTTGGTTTACTATGTACACCATCTGTCTGTGCTAATGGCCCCTACTGTATACACTGTCTTTCTTATGTAGGACTAATACTAGTCACCTGAGTGAGGCTGAGAATCAGATTTGTTCGAAGAGGGGAAGAAGCTCAAAATACAGGTACATAACTGACCTCTCTGTGGCTGGACTACAGGAAGGATGTAATCATCAAAAGAACTAGGGGAGTTGGCTGTCTGACTCCTTCAGACTATGGGCCTGCACCGGCCCAGGGGCAAAAACTCACCATGCCCCTTGGGTGCGGGCTTCCTGCTTGTGCTCCCTGTCTCCCCAGTGAGAGCCAACAGCTCAGCCTCTAGGTCTCCGTCATCTTCAGTCTCATCCACCCCCAGGAGCATGTCTTCAGTGTTGAACTCCACGAAAAGCCCCAGCTACGAACACAGAGATTTTTTTTTTTTAAAAAAGAGTTTATTTATTTTGTGTTCTCAAGACAGGGCCTCTCTGTATAGCCCTGGCTGTGCTATTATAACTCACTTTGTAGACCAAGCTGGCCTCAAACCCAGAAATCTGCCTGCCTCTGCCTCCCAAGTGCTGGGATTAAAGGCGTGCATTCCCTGGCATAGAGATTTTATAGTTTTATTTGTAAGAATGTTTTGCCTGCATGTATGGATGTGTACCATGTGTCTGGTGCCCGCATAAGTCAGAAGCCAGATTCACTGAAATTGAAGTTATAGATTGTTTTAAGCTACCACGAGGGAGCTGGAAACCACACCCAAGTGCTCTTAGTAGAAAAGCCATGTTTCCAGCCTCAGAGAAAGGTTCTCAAAGCACTCAGGAGGCAGAGGCAGGCGGATCTCTGTGAGTTCGAGACCAGCCTGGTCTACAAGAGCTAGTTCCAAGACAGGCTCCAAAACCACAGAGAAACCCTGTCTCGAAAAACCAAAAAAAAAAAAAAAAAAAAAAAAAAGACTCCTGTTCAGTCTCTGGCACAGCACTGGTGACTCGCAGTTGCCGGCAACTACACACATGTGGCACACATTCACACATGCATACACTGAGGTACTTTTTAAATCACACAATGAACCAGAACATGAGGGCTTAAGACAGGAGAACCATCCCAAGTCCAGGACCAATCTAGTCTACACAGTGAGTTCCAGGCTAGAACCCAAGAACATCCACAAAATAAACAAGCAGCAAGAAAGACTCACACAATGGGGTCAGGTATGGTGTGGCACATGCATGCAATTCTAGCACCTGGGAGGTGCAGGCAGGATGGTCAGGGGTTCAAGGATAACCAGGGCTATGCAGAGATCTTAAAAAAAAAAAATCACAGCCGAGCAGTGTTGGAGCTCTCTGACTTCAAGGTGGGGCAGGACACACCTTTAATTCGCGTGCTTGGGAGTCAGTGCTGGACAGGTTTCCGAGTTCAAGGACAGCCTGGTCAATAGAGTTATTCCAGGTCAAAGATACAGAGAACCTGTCTCAAAAAGTAAAAAGTACTCCAGCACTCGGGAGGCAGAGGCTGGTGAATCGCTGTGAGTTCAAGGTCAGCCTGGTCTACAAGAGCTAGTTCAGGACAGGCTCCAAAAGCTACAGAGAAACCCTGTCTCAGAAAAAAAAAAAATCACATAACAAAATTATGTGTAGTGGGCTCATGCTTCTGATCCCAGCACTGGAGGAGGTGAGGCAGGAAGACTACGAGTTCAAAACCTGCCTAGGGTACATGGTAAGCTCAAAGTCAGCCTAGGCAACTTGAAAGAGAATTTGTGACAAAAGAAAAATAGGGCTGAGACTACAGTTCAGTAGAAGGGCACTTGCCTAGGATTCTCAAGGCCCTGAGTTCCATCCCCACTCACTCTGGGACTCAATGTGAAGATAGGTAAACAAGTCGAAACCAGTAAGACGACAGTGCCCTGTTCTAGTTAACAGTAACAGCTGGTGGCCACAACACAGTGTCACTCATGACTTATATTAGTTCTTCTCACCATCCTGAGATCCTACCACAAACACCCTTCATCTTTTTTGGGAAGAGGGAGTAACTTGAGACAAGCTTTCATTGTATAACCTAGAACTCACACTCTTCCTGGGGACTGTACACGTGTACCACATTTATTTAACTGTGTAAACACATAGCATGAAATCTGCCACCTTACCTACTGTCAAGCGTGAAGTTAAATGCTAATATACATTCCCATTGTTATGCAACCATCACACTATCCATTCATAGGCTGCACGTGCCTATTAAACACTGACCCATCTTCCGCTCTCCACCTTGATATTCCATGTGACACAGGGCCTAGTTTACCCCAGTGGTCGGTGATGGCTGAAACTTTCTGGATATTTATGCACTTTACCCCAACCCACCTCTTACCTGATTTTTTATCTGTCTGTTCTAATTTATTAAGTCTTTTTATATGTATGATGGTTTTTGCCCACATGTATGTATGTGTAGTATGGGTGCAGTGCCCATGGAAACCAAAAGAGGGTGTTAAATCCCCTAGAACGGGAATTACACGTGGTTGTAAGCCATCCATTTGGTACAGGGAACTCCATCCCCCTCTTCTGCAAAAACAGCAAGTGCGCTTAACCACTCAGCCACTTCTCTAGCTGCCAACTGCTCTGCTGTTTGCCTCTAGGCTGACCTGAAACCTGAAACCCACACTGACCTTGAATTCATGACCTTCCTACCTCTGCCCCCAAAGTACCGGAATTTTGAATGTGGACCACCAAGCCTAACCTACCTGCTTCCAGAAGACAATAAAAATAGATGAAGACCCAGAAGAAATAAAGGAAGAACACATGGAAGATATACCTTCTTCAGACCCGCTCACTAGAGTCTGTCCCTGTCGGTGGGCTACAGCCCTAAAATCCTGGCATCCTAGAGCTAGCCAGGAAAGTTGTCACCTGTGAACACTTAGGTCTAATCAAGCCTCGGTAGCTCCTTAACTCTCAAGTTATTTATGTGGTATGGCCACAACAGGATGGCCAAGTGGAACCCAAGAAAGGTCAGGCTCTGGTCACTAAACTCTAAGGACTTCACCACTTAGAAGCACTGCCTGTCCTCTGTGGACTAACAGGAACACCACACAGGTGACGCAATTCATCACAGGTGACTAGAGAGCCCCACCCCAAGTTAAGAGGCCCATATCCATACCTGCTTAGCAGTTGCAGCACCCTGGCCTCTGGTCTTAGGGCCCTTCCGAGGTCTCGACCCTGGCATCCTGGTAGGCTAGATACCTATTAGGTGCAAAGTTGAAGAGACGCCTGGAGTAGATGAGACATGGCCCCAACAGGGGTACCAGTGATTAAGGAGCAAATTTCTTCAGGTAAAATGCCACTTTGTAACTAAAGAACAGAGGCAAGAGGTGGCAGTGGATGAAAGGCTGGGTACCACTGTCAACAGTGTGTACACGACAGTTGTTGAACTGACTGATGGACATTGGGGACAGATCGATGGAAGCAATGCTAGGCCCAAGTGCTACGTCGCAGTACATGCCTAATGGGTACCACTAGGCAACCCAGACACAGAGCGCTTTCATAGTCCCAGTTTCCTTGGACACTCTGTGCCTGACTCAGCATCCAGATCCTCTGAAAGATGTCACAAGTGATCAGCGGGTACTGTGGCACGACCCGCCAGGACTCATCTGCTCCCACCTCAGTCTTCAAGGAAACAGACCCATGGGCACACGACCATCACAGGGCTACTGCGGGAGCCATGGGTGCCAGAGGGGGCCCTTACCCAAGACATCAAAAAAGGCATCTTAGAAAGGATGATGCCTGTGCTGAGTCATAAAGTTTGGAGGCTGGGGAAGAGCAGAGTTCCAAACAAATCAAACAGATACCAGTTCTAAGATGAGAAATGACTTGGCCTACACAAGGAAAAGGAAGACCCATCATCACTGAAGCATGAACCAAACCAGGAGACTAGAATGGAGACATGACCCAGGGGCGAACCGTAAACACCTTTAAGGCTCTAAAGGTATTCCGGCGTTATCCTGACAGCAGTGGGAAGCGTCATGGGCTGCAAAAGGTGCACGGGGAAGTGGGAGATGGTACAGGGCGGGAAACTTTGGCCCTGAGCATCAGGCAAGCCTGCGAAGGAGCGTGGGATGGCGTGGGGACTGAGACTCAGACGGGGTCTCGCGTCTGGAGCTGGAGTCGACAGAGCTGCGAGGTTCCCTGGGTGAGAGCGCCCAAGCGCTCGTCACTCCAAGTGTCAGATTTCGACTCCGGTGAAGAGCGAGGGGTCAGCCGGGGCGGGATGCGGGGGGTGAAGCAGCTCGGGAGAATGAGGCTTTGCACTGTCGCTCGGGTGCCGGAGGCTGGTTGGGGCTCAGGAGAGGCGCGTCCTCGCCGGGCTCCCCACACCCGCGCGTCCTCCCACCGCCTGGCCCGACCCGGCCCAGGCGGCCTCCATCTCCCCGGCCGCCCCCAGACTCCACACGCCGAGAGACGGGCACGTGGCATACCTCGCGGCGGATCCGAACCAAAACAGGGCCTCCCACAGCCCGGAACCGCCAGGCTTCCCGCGGCCCTCGGGCGGCGGCCGAGACAGCCACAGGAAGCGCCCGCCCAGGAGGCGGCGGCTCTCGCTCGGCACGTGACCCCAAACCAGCTACCCGCAGTGCGCATGTGCTCGGGAAGCGGGTGGGGCGCGCAGCCAGGTGACGCTGAGGGTGGGGCAGGTAACGCGAGACCGGCGGACGGGAGCGCCGGGAGGGTTGGCGGGGGCGCGCCTTTTCCGGCCGGAGCATCTGCGCCTGGTGTCCTGCTCGTTCTCCCCGCTCTCGGAGACTCTCGCCCCCGTGTTGGGTTCTGGAAGGAGGCCCGAGGACCTTGTGCGCCTAGCCGTCCTAGGCGCTGAAAACCGAGTCTCCGGGAAATGGGGTTCCTTTGCAGTCCGATTAGAGGAGCCAAAGCACTCTGTGGACTGAGGCAGGAGGATCGCTGCGAGCTGACAGCCGCCGCTGCCTCCTAAGGTTTCGGGTTAGATCGGACTGATGCAACTGACCTGCAGACGGACTATTCCATCTCCAGAGTTGCCTTTTTTCCCCCCGCTCTGTAAAACCCCAAGATCCCCACACCACAAGCGCAGTGTCACTTCATGGAGAAACTGCAGGCTTCAGTTCTGATGGAAGGAACAGACCCACGTGTGGTGCACAGTTAATCCTCCTTAAAGTTATTTTAACATTTTTATAATAAAAATGTTTAAGATATATACAAAGACATACAACATTGCACGTTTACTGCTGGGTGGTGGTGGCGCCCGCCTTTAATGCCAGCAGAGGCAAGGGTATTACTGTGATTTCGAGGCCAGCCCGGGTCTACAAAGCGAGTTCCAGGATAGCCAGTACTACAGAGAAACTGTCGCGAAAAATAAAATGAAAAAAAAAAAATCCTTTCAGTTTCGGGCACAGAGACAAACTTTTTTTTGTCCCCCCCCCAACCCCCACCCGAGACAGGGTTTCTCTAACAGTCCTGGTTGTCCTGGAACTCGCTTTGTAGACCAAGCTTCCAAGACAAGAGGGACACACTCATTATGAGCACCTCTGTTGCAGTTTCCTCTGAGTTCTACAACCAGAACAGCTTCAAGATGACTGACGGAGCCGATTCATCCTCACAGGATACTCCAGTCAGGACTTGACCATAATTCTAAATTTTTTTTAAATATTTATTTAGTATACAATATTCTGCCTGTGTGTATGCCTGCAGGCCAGAAGAGGGCACCAGACCTCATTACAGATGGTTGTGAGCCACCATGTGGTTGCTAGGAATTGAACTCAGGACCTTTGGAAGAGCAGACAATGCTCTTAACCTCTGAGCCATCTCTCCAGCCCTCTAAATTTTCTTTGAATCCCCATAAGATTGTCAGTGCACCCAACAAGCACGAAGTAGCTTAGAAAACTATGCCCATATTCTCCAAAAATGGATTATGGAAGTTTTGTTTACAGTGTTGGTTACAAGCTGTTATGAATAATGATCAAGAAAAAAGCTAAACAAAGATTAGATTCTGAGTTTTGTTTTGAAAAGAAAAAAGGGGACATGCTGTGGGATGCTCTTGTACACTATAAAGATTTGTCACTCACATTAGTTTAATAAAATGCTGATTGACCAGTAGCCAGGCAGGAAGTCTATGCAGGGTGACTTAGACTAGGAGAATTCTGGGAAGAGGAAAGGCAGATGCAGTCACCACCCAGACACAGAAGAGAGATGAGAATGCCTGACTCAAAAAAAGTAGTAAACCACATAGATAAGAATTGTGGGTTGATTTAAATTGTAAGAGCTCCTTAATAATAAGCCTGAGTTAATAGGCCAAACAGTTGATAATTAATATAAGCCTCTGTGTTTCTTTGGGACTGAATGGCTACAGGACCAAGTGGGACAGAAAACTTCCATCTACGTGCAAGTGGCTTGAATTACAGCCAGTGTGAGCTGCTAGATGTAGGTGCCAGAATTCGGATTCTCTGCAAGAGCAGTATATACTCAACCAATGAGTCATCTCCTCAGTTTTTTTCCTCTGGCAATTAAAATTTATCATTTGTATGTGTGTCAAATCTGCTGGAGCTGGAGTTGTAAGCCATCTGAGCTGAGTTCTAATAACTAAATTCAGATCCTCTGGAAGAGCCCCATTTTAGCTTTTAGATTCATCTTTCTTTGATCCATTTCAACTGCTTCATTTTGCTAATCACCCATTTTTCTTCTGTAAACGACATCTTTACTCTTCTCCCTTTGAGTTAACCATGGAAATTATAAAAATATTCTGATACAGAGGCTGGAGAGGTGGCTCAGCAAGGAACAGACTTGGTTCCCAGAACCCACACGGCTACTCACAACCATTTGTAACTAGTTTCAGGGCAGCAGACAACCTCTCCTGGCCTCTGAGCAGATTACACACAGATGGTATTACACTTTGATGCAGATAAAACTGTTGTAAAAATTTGAGTGTTTGCCTGCATGAATATATGCACATGCACCATGTGCATGCTTGGTGTCCTTGGAAGATAAGAGGAAGGATTCAGACACCCTATAACTGGAGTAAAGATGGTTGTGAGCTGTCACTGGGTGCTGGGAACGAAACCCAGATTCTGTACAAAAGTAAGTCCCCTTAACCCCTCAGGCATCTCTCTAGCTCTGTGAATGATACCTTTTAAAACCTTATAACTATTATTTCTAACAGTTCTTAGGTTTTTTTTTTCAGGCTGGTTTTGAGTTTAGTATGTGGCCCAGGCTACCATCAAACCTTCAGAGCCAGGTGGTGGTGGTGCATGCCTTTAATCCCAGCACTCAGGAGGCAGAGGCAGGCGGATCTCTGTGAGTTCGAGGCCAGCCTGGTCTACAAAGGGAGTTCCAGGACAGGCTCCAAAGCTACAGAGAAACCCTGTCTCAAAAAACAAACAAACAAAAAAACCACTTCAGTAATCCTCTTGTTTCAGCCTTAGCACCATGCAGGGTACAAGGTACCAGGGCTAAAGGCATCTGGTTTGCATTTAGCAGTGGGAAATGAACCCAGTGCCTCCTGCCTACAAGGAGCACTGTCACTATGATGAACACAAAACCCTATCAGTTCTTTTATATAAAAACAATTTTACTTTATATCATTCACAATCAAATACATCATGACATACAATGAAGTCTTCCTATCACCTCTGACAAACCGCCAGGAACTTCCCAGAGGCAACCAGTGTAGCCAATTTCATATAAATTCTCCCAAAAGTACTTTAAATAGATAAATATACTATATACATGTCTTTATATACATAGTATGTTACCATAAACTTCTCAAACACTCTGGATAAAGCAAACTACATAACATAAAATCCAAAATCTACCACAACCATTTCCATTCTGTTTTTTCTTTAATTCCATGTTCTGAGGAAAAATAAATAAGGCTCTTTGGGAAATAGCAGAAGTCCTTGAAGCCCTTCACGCTTCTTTCAGAGCATACAGCACATCGTCTTGGCTCACGTTGAGCCTCACTCGAAGGAGTAGGTCATTCCTGCTGGACTCCACCAGGAGGAGGCGGCAAGACCCCAGACGTGAACACACAGCCATGGTCTCTGACATGGTCGGGTAAGGCAGCCCCTCTATCCTGCACAGAGCCACATGCTGGCTGTAGATCTAGACAGCAAGAGTAAAGCCAAGGTCAGGAGGAACAATAATCCTGGGTTTGTATCCAATCATTCATCTTTTCCAAAAACTGGGTCCTTGGGGCAGGGTGGGTGATGCTCTCTAATCTGTAGTCCAAGTCCCTGGGCTGCAGAGTTCCAGGACAAGCAAGGCTGTATAAGACCAGTCTCCAAACAATCAATCACTTGGTTTTAAATGGAGACTTTGCCTTTGTTTAGCTGCCCAGACCCAAATAATCACACAAACTATATTAACATTAATTACAACAATGTTTAGCTTAAGCGTATTCCTAGCTAGCTCTTATATTGTAAATTGACCTATTTCTATAAATCTATGTTATCACCACAAGACTGTGGCTTACTGGTAATGGTGTGGCATCATTCTCCTTCAAATGCTACATGGTGTCTCATCAACTCTGCCTACTCTATCTGTTTGGATTTCCTGCCCGGCTTTAATCTGCTAAGCCATTGGCCAAAAAAGATTTATTAACCAATAAAATCAACACATACATAGAAGGACACCCCACATACTTGGTACCTCAAGATACCAAATGCTTCATTAGTAGACGCCCTTGTGCCAAGGAGTAGAAAACAAGCCATAGAACAGGACACAGCACATCTGAACCCTACTTTTCTATAATTTACCTATGTGACACCAGGAAAGTTACCCCCCCATGCTTTCTTCCTTCCTCTTTCTTTCTCTCCCTCTTTCAACCCTCCCTCGCCTTCTTTCCTAGTCTTTTTAAGGCAAAGGCTGCATCTCAAGTTGGTTTGGAACTCACTATGTAGTTCAATCTGGCATCAAACTCTTGGCAATCCTCCTGCCTCATCTTCTAAGAGCTGAGATCACAGGTGTGAGTCAACATGTGCCTACTTCACATTTTAAAGCAAAGCTTCAGTTTTATAAGATGTACTGCACAACCGAACAATATTTGGAATACTGGTGTAGGAGGGTCTTCTATCTATATGTTACTTTCACTGGTTAAATAAAGAAACTGTCTAGGCCTTTTGATAGGACAGCAGCTTAGATAGGCGGAGTGGACAGAACAGAATGCTGAGAGAAAGAAAGCAGGGTCAAAGAGCCGCCCGCCATGAAGCTGCCGCCAAATCAGGCATGCTGAATCTTTCCCGGTAAGCCACGAGCTCGTGGTGACATACACATTATTACAAATGGGTTGAATCAATATGTGAGAGTTAGCTAATAAGAGGCCGGAATTAATGGGCCAGGTAGTGTTTAAATGAATACAGTTTCTGTGATTATTTCAGGAATAAAGCTAGCCGGGATCCGGGCGGGAACGCAGCCCGCAGCTCTCCCTTCTACAATCAAATACAGAACTGCTAAAGGCTCCTTGTGAGTTTTGTTGTTGTTGATTGTTTGCTATGTTAAAAGACAGGTCTCTCATACTTCAGACTGGTCTCAAACTGGGTATGTAGCCAAGGATGAATGAATTTATGAACCTCCTGGCTCTACCTCAAAGTCCTGGGATAACAGGCATGCACCA